ATTAGATCACATACATGGTAACTTATTGTACTCCTGATATTATACCTCCAACATCTAATAATCATCTCAGTCTAAAATCTGTCTTCCCAATTTGGAAAAGGTAGGATATGTATTCTGTTTGTTCAGTTATAGGCAGCTAGATCCTCTGTGCCTGATGATCCTTCAGACAGTACAACTACATCTGTTAGTTGGGTTCAAGTGCAATTGCCCAACCTAAAAACTCTGTTAGGATAGACTATACTTATGGACAACCTTACCTTGACCTACCTGCACCAGTAACACTGGACTATAAACTGCCCATCAAATATCTCTGTTAAAGATAGATATCCCCTAACCTCAGTATGAGTTACATGAGCCTCAGCTAAATGGAAACAGCTGGGTCAAGAATATAAAGACAGTTCTACTACTGAATCACTATATTCCTGATAGTATTTCTGGCACCGCCTCTTCATTCCTTTCCTTATGTGATCATTAGCCAAGTCTTTCAGTTCTTCTCCAGAGCCCTCTGGTATCCAGGCAGAGCCCACCATCATCACTGCAGGCCAACAAATCCTTTACATCTTAATCACTTTAAAGACCCATCTCCTAAAAATTAATACATACAAATAGGTATTATTTAAATTAAAATCTTAGTTGACTAGCTTAATCACTGACATAAGCCCCTGCCTACCCTATACAAAAGGACAGTACAAGAGAAATCTGCTCACCAGCTGCTCCTTGTCTGACATGGTCACATCATATGACCGCTTCAAGAGTGTGCAGATCCTGTAACTGAATTCCATACAGCAAGAGTCTAACTCGCCACCCACATCAACACAAGCTTCCTGTGCTTTTTGGGGTGAGCGGGGGTGGGGGGTGGGGGGGAGAGGGCAAAGGAGAATCAATCTATGAGTAGGGTTTAATACCTAGAACAATGGAAACCACCTAAGAAAACGAAGGCACCAAAATCAAATCCAAAGTCATCTTATTTTCTAATTTATTTTAAGCCTCCTTGACTTTCTCTCTTGGCTCCCCGAAGACCATAGTCGGTGTGGATTCTTACCTTTCAGAGTTCATAGTACCTCTTTGCCCTGTAGTCCAGTATTGTTCTGTGGACAATAGAAGTGCATCATTTCAAAATCAGTATGAATTAATGCTATGAGAGACATTTTCATAGGATGACTGTAAATCCAAATTGCAGTCTCACGATCCCTAATGTTGTCTCATTAGGGAAATCCTGTGGATAAAATTTAAAAATAAAAGAAAGTCTAGTGAAAATGGGCATAATTCTACACGGGAAAATCAGCATATATGCAGATAAGAGTACAAGTAAATATTTTTGAGGAATTGGTTTTTGATCAATGATTCCTGGTTTGTGTTATTTATCGACTTTTGAATTTTAATGAATATAAATGCCACTTATTCCTTTCCTGAACCTGGACTGAAGACTCACAAATATTGATCTTTTCTGGCATATAACTAATCCTAAAAGAGATATTGCCTGCCAAACAGGAAACTGAGAAGTTCATTTAGCTTCACTGCTGCCTCCTGGGATGTATTTACAATATAAGGAACTTCCAGTGCAAAAAATTATAGCTCCAATTGACTTAAACTTTCCTTCACCGTCTCAACAACTGATCCCACCAGCCTGCAAGGGTTCCAGTCTGTTTAATGTAATTTCATTTGAGGAGTTGGGGGAGAGCAAAAAGAGCTGATTATGTGAAAGGATGGCAGTAACTTCTTTTTCATTCGAATGGTAAACTTGTGACTAAAGGTACGCAAAAAAAAAACAAAGGGAGGTGGAATGGGGGACTGTTCTTAATTTTGGTTAGCTAATCTACATCAGCTAACTCTGGTTAAAATAGCAGCAAGGACACTGGCAACTCAGCTTTTAACTCATGGTAGCAGCTTGAGTTAGAGCCGATAGGAGAGTCTGTGGTTGAACGCGAGCTGCCAAACTGAATTAAAAAAGCCAAGTTGACCATGTACTTACTGGTTTTTTGGAACGAGCTAAAGAAAATCTTTTTTTTTTTTTTTTGGCAGTGCAGACATTCCCTAAGAGTTTGATTTAAAAAAAAAACAAAAAAACAAAAACAAAACAAAACAAAAAAAACCTCAACTTAGCCTTCCATTTTGCACCCACAATTTTTCAGCTACACATAATTTTTCCTGCAATTATTTGCATTCAAACCTACCAGTGCAAAATGAGAGGCTATTTCTAAAAACCGGGCCCTTAATATTTTATGCATATCTTCTTCAGGTTGATTATGTTATTCCCTCAAAAAAAGTCATACTAGATGATGATATCAGTGTGGAGCAAGGGCAGATTCAACCCAGTTATTCTTCAAACACTTGCTGTTCTGATCCTCTCTTTATCCTAAAATTTTGGTATCATCATAACATGATTGCGGCCACTATTGACATTTTTTTTAAAAATGCCAACCCCACTGCTGCAGAATACTAGCATGGTCATTACTATAAATCAAGAAATGAAAAGGAACTATAATCAATTTTTTGGTACTTCAGTCTAATCAAGAATACTTGTATTTCAGTGATGACTCCTGAAACACAATCAGAAACCTGTCCATGTATGTAGGACACTTGCCAGTTTGAACAGCCAACAGTTTACACAATATATTCTCCCACTGCTGTTCACTTCACTCATTCTATTCAATTAGCCATACTACTGTAGCAATGCTATTTATTTTAAAGTACTAAAATAAAAGTCAAAAGTAAAGTTTTATACTCACAGACTGGTACTGTACAGACCATCATGAACTATAATTGCATACTGTCTTTCCTAGAATATAAAATATGCTGATACCACATGTGCATTGAGTAGTTTTAAAACCAATTGAGGTATTTTACAGAATACATTAAAATACTCCTGATCTAAATGCATTAGTAGCTCATGCACATCTTTTATTTTATTTATTTAGATGTATAGAACATAGGGGTGCCTATCTGAACATGGACTCAGAGTCATAGGTCTGGAATGGACCTCAAGAGGTCATCAAGTCCAGTCGCCTGCACTCATGGCAGGACTATTATCTAGACCAGTGGTCTCCAAAGTGGGGTGCGCAAGAGGATCCTTGGGGGTGCATGCACGGCGGGGGTGCGTGCTCAAAAAATTTTTTACTGATAGGGGTGCACAATCAAAAAAGTTTGGAGACCACTGATCTAGACTGTCCCTGACAGGTGTTTGTCTAACCTGCTTTTAAAAATCTCCAGTGATGGAGATTCCACAACCTCCCTAGGCAAGTTATTCCAGTGCTTAACCACCCTGACAGTTGGGAAGTTTTTCCTAATATCCAACCTAACCCGCCCTTGCTGCAATTTAAGCCCATTGCTACTTGTCCTATCCTCAGAGGTTAAGAAGAACAATTCTTCTCCCTCCTCCTTGTAACAACCTTTTATGTACTTGAAAACTGTTATGTCCCCCCTCTTCTCCAGACTAAACAAACCCAATTTTTTTCCAACCTTCCCTCATAGGTCATGTTTTCTAGACCTTTAATCAGTTTTGTTGCTCTTCTCTGGACTTTGTCCAATTTGTCCAAATCTTTCCTGATTGTACGATGCCTATGTCGAACACTTAAAAATACTATAAATCAAATAAGAAACAGTAGCCCCATGACACAGACTAATATTAAATAACCAGGCAGCACAAAATAAGTAGTTAACCACACTCCTCACTTCCCCCATACGTTCTCCTCTAACAACATTTGCTGCTTCAGCAGCACTTGCAGTTTGTCCTGAAGGTCAACAGATTCAGACCAAAGACAAAACCACTCCAAATCCATATTATATTTTTGAACATAAGAGCCTTTATTGTGGCCAGCAAGATTCAGAGGCAGTTTGCATAACCATCCTTGCAGGAGCTCCCCTAGCTGTCCTTTTCCCCCAGGCATTTCTTTACCACTCACATCCTTATCTTTGTTGGGTTCAGGATATGCATCATCTTTTCTGACCCTGCGTTCTATGGAAGAAGTTGTGACTGACATGAGCGGGCTGTGGAAGAGAAAGCACAAAGCTGTCCTTCCTTGTTGCTCCATGCCCCTCCCTACAGGGGTCAGTCACAGTCACTTCACTCTCCTGGGTTACAGGAAGTGCTCTCCTATTATTGCCCATGGTTTGTTGGAAAAATAGTTTCCTGACCAGCTCTAGTCAAGAGGTGAGAACATGCAGCCAGAGGGTTTACTACAAGTTGGCCTAAAATGGATGTAACATGCTCCAGAACTGAGGACTATAGCTAAGGACAAACTTTTTACCTGGATGGGTCTAGTGAGTCTGCCAAAGAACCTCAGAACTCATTGTTTCCGCTACATACACAAACCACATATTTTTTAAAAAACACACACACTTGCCAAACTTCATGTTCATCTGACCATTTTGGCAGAGGAGACTTCTCCTGAGAACAAAACAACTCCCAAATGGGCAAGAGAGGTCGCTGCAGAGTAATGCAAGGTAGCTTTCTTCTCCCTCATGGTGCCATCAAAGCATGCTCAGTTCCTACTATCTCAGGAGAGAGGGTCATAGTTCAAGACCTGAACTCCAGTTTCCTGAGAGTTAGTGCAATATATATATATAATACGTTAATTTCATCTTTATAACACATACTTCACACACTACAACTCACTCTATTGTTACTTAGCCCATGGTTGACCTGGAAACACGTCCACCATTTACTGTGGGAAGCTATTTAGTATGCATACTAGCAGCCTCTGAAATACTTAGCCACTATGTGACTTAACACTATAATAGGCCAGTCATTGCAGCAATTACAGCATGGGCCAATATCAATCAACGTGAGCTACCTTGGGTTTCCTGTATGCATGCTCTGCAGGGAGAAATAAAGCTACATGAATAGAGTTCCCTATGTAGCCATTGTTACTGTATATTTGAATAGGCACAAAAATCGCAAAATCATTTTTCACATGGTTAGTTTTAATATCCACAGGTACATGAAGAACACACAAATTATGCAATAACAATTTTTAAAATGTCAATTCCTTAATTAACAGGCAGATGACCAATCAAATTTCTCTGGATATGAGAACACAGGCGGTGAGTTTCTTCTTAAGTATAGACTAATGTATTCATTATGATACTTTTAGTTCCCCCTTTAATATAATCAAGTACATAAGTATAGTATATTGCATCCAGATTCTTTTTTTTTTTTTTAAATGAAAGAGGTATGCATTTCAGATACTGATGGAAAGCACATTTGATTGTGTGAAAGTATGTCAGAGAGTTACTTCAATTCCCATTCAAGCCATTGGACCCAGACTTATTCAGAAGTCTTACTATTAAGCCAAAAACAGCTTTCCGAATTTGGCAAACAGTTATTAAGGGCTGATGTAAGGTGTGACTTGGCAGGATTCTAAGAGCAGCCTGAGGGTTAATGAACACCTTCAGCTAGTGATATCCCGTAATTAGAAATGTGCAAGTCAGAGGTGAGTTGCTTCTAGTCTGGCTGAATTTAAGATTAAATTTCCTTTAATGTGGAGCACGGAATGCAAAAATCTAAAAGGATATGGAAATTGTTATATATGAACTTTAATCAAATTATACTTTTAGAATAAAAGCAAAAAAAAAGAAAAGAAACATGGTGGCTCATGATGCATATTATTCTGATCTCAAGAGCAGTTTGATTCTTTTTAATTATTATGATTTCGCTTTTTTTGCTAGGGTGTGCATATGAAAGGGCTGTCATTGTTTCCATGTAAGATATATTTTTATCACTTCTGCAGTGACAGCTACAAAACTGGGACATAAGTGAGCTTGTGAATAACAGTTCATTTCAGAATAAAGAACATTCTGGTAGAAACCAAAAGCTACTTTAAATCAAAAAGTTACCTTGAAAACCTTGCTATGTGTTATATAACCGTGTATAGAAAGAACAGAAGATTGAAGTCAGTAGTTGCTGACAATAAAACAAAGATTTTATTTTTATTTAGATTTTACAGAAGATTTAAGGAAATCTAACATCATTTTTGTAGTTGGTAAGTAAGAGCCTTAATATAACTATTCCATTTGCAGCTGTTAACAATGGGTCATACAGTTTTGATTGTTAATGTATGTAGATGAAAGACTGAAAGTGGGGGGAGAAACACTGACTGACAAGCTTCACTTGCTGCTCCTCAAAATCTGACACACCGAAGGAATCCCCACTGACTTACGTAATGCTGACATCATCACCATTTTCAAAAAGGGAGACAGGGCCGACTGTGTCAACTATTGAGGCATTGCCCTCCTCTCCATTCCTGGGAAAATCCTTGCCAGAATCTTACTGAATCACCTGCTCCCACTTGCAGAGGAAGTACTTCCAGAGTCCCAGTGTGGCTTCAGACCAACACAAGGCACCACGGACATGATTTTCGCAGCCAGGCAGATCCAGGGAAAATGTCAAGAACACCACCAGGAGCTGAATATGGCCTTTATCAATCTGACCAAAGCCTTCGACTCTGTCAACCGTGAGGCTCTGTGGAAAATCATGTCAAAGTTTGGCTGCGCAAGTGAATTTATCACCATTGTAAGACTCCTCCATGACCAGATGACTGCCTCGAGGGCCGGCTCCAGCTTTTTTGCCGCCCCAAGCGGCGAAGAGAAAAAAAAAAAAAAGGCCGTGATTGGCGGCACTTCGGTGGCAGCTCTACTGCGCCACTTCATTCTTCGGCGGCAATTCGGCGGCCGGTCCTTCCCTCCGAGAGGGAAAGAGGGACCCGCCGCCAAATTGCCGCCAAAAACCCGGACGTCCCGCCCCTTTCCATTGGCTGCCCCAAGCACCTGCTTCCTGCGCTGGTGCCTGGAGCCGGCCCTGACTGCCTCCATCCTGAGCAGTGGTTCTACCTGTGGGTCCTTTGTCATCCGAACTGGTGTAAAACAAAGCTGTGTACTGGCAACCACCCTTTTCTCCATTTTCTTAGCAGCTATGAAAACATTAACCCAAGACCATCTACCACCGGGCGTTGGCATCCAATATCGGATTGACGGCAACCTCTTCAACCTTTCTCATCTCTGTGCCAGAACTAAAGTAGTATCGGCAACAATAACCAAACTCTGGTACGCAGATGATTGTTAGTCCCTCTGGTTGCTCCACCATAGGATGTGCATGCACCTGCACACTTGTGATTGGAAATTTTAGCTAGCAGTGTCTGAAGGTCCAGACCTGTGCACCATACACCCTTGTGCTCTGGTGCAAGGTTATATAGGGAGATGTAAACCTGCTTTCACTCCAGTTCCTGCTCAGCCGCCCTTGGCTCAGGACAGATCATAACAGTGTCTGCTGCTAGCTTTGCAGTTCCTTCTTTGTGTTCTTTATGTTACTTTTCATTAGCACACTTTGTGCTTTCATAGGGGTCCCCCTCCCTTGAACTCTTCTTTCTGCAGTCAGGGCCTTCTGCCTTCGGCTGTTCCCTCGATGGAACAGGTTATGCCAAGCATTCCAGGCTTCAAGCCTTGTCAGATGTGCCACAGGTCTTTCTCCCTCAGCAACAGACATTCCAACTGCCTCACAGTCCCACATACGATCCAAATGCAAGGTCTGAACCAGCTTTAAAAAGCAGATCTGTCCAGACCCTTGCACCTCAGGTAGACAGAAGCGCCTTCTCATGCAGCGCTCACTGAGGTTCGATCCCACCCTGTACGTCAGCCTCAGCCACTCAGGTCATTCCAATGCCTTCAGCCTCAATTAAAGATTGTGGGGCAGCTCCCGAATCAAATATTCCAAGAAAGAGTCCACATGACCTAGAGGGACTCCTATAAGAAGGAAAGTCATCTCCATGGCCAGAATTTAGGGAGACCTTGCATCCCAGTATGGGTACTGTTGAGGCTTGTGCGAGCCCCAGTACCCATCAAGATGAAGCCCATTTCATCCCATACCAAGGGATCTCTTAGAAAATCACAGCTGTTAGCACTGAAGTTGGTACTGGAAGATGAGCCCTCCAGACACAAAAAGAACTCTAAGGGACTCCTCTAAGAACCCTATATTGACCTCAGTATCCTTCTCTTCAGGTTGCAGCCATAATGACTGTACCTCAGCAGTCCCCAGTCCTCAGCTCACATACCTACAGGGCACAAGGACTGCACCTCCATACCATCCCCAGTTATGGTGGAACACTGCCCAGGCTCCATGGTACCGATTAGGTTCCTTTCTCATGAGGACCTCTTGATCACAGAGGAACCAGACTCTTCCTCCTCAGGGACACTGAGAGGGATCCCTCCCTGGTACCATCCCACCTGTCAGCACTGGAGCTTTAGCACATAGCTCAGCCTCCCAAAGGCACATCTCTTTGGAAATCCAATGGAAACTGCAGACACTTCTGCTTATGGTAGAGTCACAACTCAATGGGGATACCCTCTTAGTCACCTGACATTACACCTCCTCTGTGCTTACCCTCCGACACATGATCCTCCGGGTTCTAAACAGGAACAAGTGGTCGAAATGTTCATAGCTCCATGTTGGCCATGACAAATCTGGCTCTCAAACCTGCTTTGCTCTTCCCTGTGAATGCCACTCTGATAATGGATCTCCTGACCCAAAACTTGGGCACCACAGCCCAACATTTCTGTATCTCAGAGCCTGGATCTTCAATGGTTCTTGGGCATAGAATTGGACTGTTCCTCCAAGGTTAAGAGAGTACTTCTGGGCAGTAGGAAACCTGCCATGAAGAAAACCTACCTGCAGAAATGGAAGCATTTCCAGGTCAGGCATGCTCATCGATCAGTAACTCCTATGGAATGTCCACTCAGGCATTGTTTACTACCTGCTGGACTTGAAATCACGAAGTTTGTTGTGTAGCTCTGTTAAAGTACATCTAGTGATCATTATGGGATTTCACTCTCTGTCCACAGATTGTTTTTGTACACTGTACCAGTCAGGTTACCTCAAAGGGTTGTCTAATTTGTTTCCATAAATCAAAGAGCCTACTCACTCCTCCTTGAGACCTTAACCTGGTTCTTAATGCACAGGTAAGTAACCTCTCCATTTGCATATTAATTCTTGTAAATTAAAACCATTAAATTTGAAATAAAGCCATGCAAATTAAGGTTTTGCAAAGATCAGAAGACCACATTTCTGTACTACAGGTTTTTTAAGCTCCATTTTTGTACTAAATATGAATAGACCCAGCTCATTACTAACCTGTATGTATATAAAAAGTGAGGTTGGACTGTTGCACCGTTGCTATGGTAATCCAGAACTTTCATAAAGGGAAAATGCACAATGTTTTGCTTCATACTTTTTGAAAAACTGCAATCCTATGTTATACAGTTACAGCAACACTTTTTCTCTCTCTGTCTCATTTCATTGAGAACTCATATGTGGGTTTGTATAAAACAAGGAACTGTGAAGTGTTCTGTAACAAATTTAAGACATTTTATGTTTGTGAGCTGTCCACACTCAGAGAATGTTTTTCTCACATTTATTCTTTAGTTGGTTGTTTTATGAATAATTCTTGACCTCTCTCTCATTTGCAAGTAGTTTATTTAAAATATTCAACATCTGAAATTATAGCTGTTTTTCCAGGAGACAAACACAGGCATATGGTATGTTTCTTTTGCCTTATTGCATCAGCCTAGCTCTTAGAATCAGGTATTGTACTTGGCTAAATGAATTCAACATTTCCTTTCCATGAAGCTCAAAAATTAGAGGAAAACACAGGTAAGCATAATGTTTAAGAAAGGTACCAGATTCTAACGTGATGAGGTTAAGTATCTAGAGAGACAGGCTGAAAAAGAGAAGCATAACTGACAGAAAAGTACAGATCAGTAAATATAGTTTATCACAGATCCTAGAGACTAAAAATAGGGATTGCAACACATCTGGGAAAAACCCATTAATTTGAAAAAAAGTCACTCACCAGCATGATTTCATAAGGATATTACCACTTTTTGCTATTCTGTTGGCCAAATCACAACAAATGATCCTCTTTTTTTAAAAGTATATTTTTCAGTAAATTGCTTTTCAGAGAATCAAGGACTAGGCAGGCACCATTCAAGTTTCCCCATGCAATCACCATTATGCACCTCATTTCTTACATTTGGCACCCTATGCTGCTTTGTGCCAGTGTAACAGAAGTGAAGAGTTCTGCGTAGCCTTGACAGCATTATTCTATGGGATTTGTAAGTGATCTTGTGATGCCACCATGTTGTCATAGAAGAAGATTCCAATATATAGGTCCTATTTGTCTTCCTCGGAGTATTGATATTTAAACTGCCTTGGCTGCCTGTAGGAGTACTTTTTTCATGGGCACAATGGATGTTTCTCAAAGACAATATCTGGTCTCTGCAGACAAAGAAGCTCTGGCTGCTGTTATTTATTTCCTTGGAGTAATGCACAGAAGGCTCAGTTCTACAAACATTCACAAGAGTAGTGCAGCTGTGGTCAATATCACTTCTTACACAGGGAAGAGTCACTGTGTGAGTGTTTGCAGGATCACAGCCTAGCAGCCCAGTCCAATCCCTGCTGAAGACAATGGGAGTCTGTAGAATGACTTCACAGGGAGTTCAACTGAGCCCTTAAAAGTATTGTAAAGGAACTAGCTGTAACAGCATATGCAAAAATTCTGCTCTTCCCAGTGAGAAGGACAGAAGGACTCCTGCTACCCCAATTGCCTTCAGTGAAGAAATCTGGACTTTCCATGCTACTGTATTCCTGTCTCGAGAGACAGGAAACCAAGCCACTTGTAAGAAGGACTTTAAAAAAAATTAGCGTTTTAATTGTTTACATAATAATTGAAATAAATATGCACATCTGCTGTAGCTGATAAGTTGAGACACTGTTTATGAGATAAAAAAAAATCGCTAAAATCTAATTTCTCTCAAACGTCTCTAGTAAGGGAACGAAAACATGGACTGATTAGCAAAGATTTACATGAGGGTTAGAGTAGGAATTAATTGAAAATGCAGTCAAGTCAAATTAATTAGACAACGACATCAATGTTTTATCCAGACAACCAAAGCAAAGATGTAGAATCAGAAAGGAAAAAATGAGAGACATAAC